GGCGAGAATAGAACTCGAAATCGACCGGGTCTCACCTCTGTCTAGCCAGACGGGCATATGTTCACGGACCCTCTTTACCAGGCGTCTCGTTGTGCGGCCGATGTATCCTGCTCCACAGGAGCAAGTGAATGAATAAATGCACATTGATGGCGCCTCCAACGGTAGTCTGTCTTTACTCCCCAAACGTAGGAGGGGAGAGTTTTGTGAAACATACGCGTAAATTCGCCGCGGGGAATGCCCTCATGATAGCTGTAGTTAAACGCCGTCTGACAAGTTCGCTCTCTGCGTCTCCTGCAAAAGGCAATCTTATGAATACATCTTTCTTTTCCGCAGTCGTAACAGTGGGCATTTCGGCGCATTCCCCATATTTCGGAGGATAAATCAATCTGGGAATCCGTTCTCCAGAAGTGTGTTCCGCAGCTGTTGAAGTTCTTCTTCAATAGCCTCGGCCTCTGCAGTGATCTTTAGCGAGGGGTGCGAGCTGTTCAACTTTTGGACAAGCTCCTCGGTATCGGTGGTACCATCCGCCAGGCAGAAGATATCGTCCACGTACCGACCGTAGAAGACGAGGCAATTAATGGTCAATTGCAAGCTTGTTTTCTCGACTTTGCCCATAAAAACATTTGCAAGGAACGGTCCAAGCGGTGATCCCATTGCCACACCATCTATCTGCCTGTATAGTAGACCATTGCACAGAAACTGGACACGCCCGAAGTGCATTTATTCATTCACTTGCTCCTGTGGAGCAGGATACATCGGCCGCACAACGAGACGCCTGGTAAAGAGGGTCCGTGAACATATGCCCGTCTGGCTAGACAGAGGTGAGACCCGGTCGATTTCGAGTTCTATTCTCGCCCATTTAATCGATAAGAATCACCGAGTCGATGCCAAGGAAGCATTTCAGGTTGTCTACCGGACACCAACATGCTTCTCTAAAGGCCTACGCCAACGGATACTAACAACGGCCGAGGCAGTAGCTATACGGTTAGCGAATCCGGTGTTATGCTGTCAGAAAATCCTGACACAAGCGCTCTCTCTGCCGTGACCAACGCCAACCCCAAGTGATGAAGCCATGCCGCCTCAAATCCCTAATTACGGTGATGGGTACTCCGTGTACTCAATCCAAGAACAGCACTCACATACTCTCTTACCCCCCACCCCGAGCTCTGAGGACCAACACCCGCTGACCTTGTCATGCGGGCGACGTGGGGATGATGAGTGTTAATGACTTAATAGCCCTTGAGACATCTATAAACACTGTTGATTTTGTACATTTTCATTCCTTCATGTAATTGTATTGGCCTGACGAAGAATTAACGAAAACGCGTGTTTGCCAACTTGACTTTTCTGTTGCTATTAGGTGATTTTCAGTATACTTTAGTGTAAGGTGATTTCATACTAACAGCATAGGTACTTGCCAAAAGCCCGAACACGCGTATTTCACCGATTCTTCCGCTACATGACACAGCTGCGAGGGTTTCGGCTCGACAGTGTGTTCCTCAGCATTCGCATTCTCATTTATAGAAGATAGTCCAATTTAGAAATTGTAACTTTTAAATATCCTTAGAAATTAACTGCAGACTTGAAGTAAATCAGTATACTCATTATGTTCAAAAGCCTAGGGGGAAAGTGACAAGGCCCAACCAATACAATAGGTGGGCGAACTCATGAAAAGTTAACCAAAATTCCGAAATGCGTTTTCGTTTCGAAAATATTAATTAAATAACCTTATAATACTAGTCAGCCTCCAACATAATTCTATGAAATTTCACTTACCTCAGGATGCCGGTTTTCGACTGAATTTTCTTTCTGCTGCATGCAAAAACTACACTCTGCAAAAAATGACTACCAAAGTAGCATGAACTTTTCTAATTGATTTTCGATGCCCTTAAATGTCCAATTATATGTCATGGAAAACATCAATTTAAATTTTCATTCTTTTGTTCATTCTATAAGAAATCACGTCTTTTTCCAATTTTATACTCGAAGGAGGGACATATGTCGGTTTTTAAAAACTTGTTCAATTCCCGAATAATTTTGAACCTGCTCTACGTTACACCTAGATTCAGGATTTCCAAACTACAAGCCGTAAATTTTCCGCGTACGGAAACCACACATTTCTCTACGGCAATAAACGGGGACTATATAGGGTTCATAAAATTTAGCTGGGGATTGGATCCATGTTGTTAACTTTGCAAGCCACTTTGGTAAATGCAGACACAGAACGATTTATGAACGACCATTTCACGGTATTTAAAAGTCCCACAATTAGAAACTTTTTAAAACATAATTATGTCCCTCCTTTGAGTACAAAAGTAGAAGAAGACGTAATTTTCCACCGAATAAGTACAAAAATGAATAGTTGCATGCCGGCTGTCCATGAAATATAATTGGACATTTAGGAGCATCGAAAATCAATGGGAAAAATGCATGCTCCTTAAGTAGTCGTTGTTTACAGAGTGTAGTTTGTGCATGCAGCCGGAAGGAAGGCCATTCGAAAAGCCAGCGTTCTGAAGTATCTAAAATATGATAGAATTTTGTTACAGGCTGACTAGTTTTAAAGCCCTCTTAATTAATCTTTTCGAAACGAAAACACATTTCGTAATTTCGGTTGACATTTCCTGAGTTAGCCCACCTACTGTACATTTGTATTCCTAACATAAAGGTAAACTTTAATAATGCTCTTTTGATTACTCGATTCTAAAAAAAAGTCATGCCGGGATTTCATGATGGACAGTTAGACGAAAAACCGTTCGCAACCAACCATCCATGGAGTGAAATTACTCTAGGTAAATGTTAAGTATTGTGAGATTTTAAATGCATTTTGCCGTCAAATGAGCCGCAAATGGTCAATCTAGTGTGTTTGTTTTTGTCAGTAAAACTTCTCGATTACGGTTTGCCAGTCGCTATCTTACCGCCTTCGAAGGCCGTAGACTTTCGGCCCAAAGGAAAAGTAAAAATGCTCACTTAACTCTGCATTTAGGACTGACTGGTGCATGTCACACTCAACGTTGAAAAGACAGTCGTTACTTTTACACAGTAAATAAAACGGAATCATACCGTAATTGTCTGCTTGGATTCTAGAGCGGTCTCTAGCTCAGACTGCCATTCTAACAAGATTTTCAAACGGGCAAGAAAGTGCAGCCTATAGCGGCAAATAGAATTTTTATAAACAACTGTTTGGGCTTTTTATGACAGCACATGCCCGAGAAATTGAGAAGATCAGGAGAGGTAGAAGGATGCTTTAGAGTCTGAATCTCCTAAACTGCAAACGCCCCAGCATCCCACTTTGCTTATATAATGGAAAGGTCGCTTATGAACACTACAGAAATTGCACGTAAAAACGATGTAGAGGAAAACATTTTATCGCGTTGCGGGCGAACTTATCAAGAATTTCATCGAAGCACAAATAAGCAAATTTTGCTGTATTTATAGTGAGGTGATGGAAAAAAATCAATTAGTCAGCCATGAATAAGAGTGTGAGAACATGTAGAAGCATCCGCGGCACACGAAGCGAAGGACGAAGGCAATAAGCAAAAGGTTTTAACATCAAAGGCGGACATTGCGGTGAGCAACTAGAAATAGATAAAAGTCGCGTTTCAGTTACAACAATGTGGACAATTGCCAATGGGAGTTCCGTCACTGCGTGAGGATATTTATCACCCCTTTATTGTATGTTTGGTTCAGAGTTTAAAAACTGGATATAGCAGGCGCGCCTTGCGTAGCACTTAAGCCGCACATTTAATACATGCTAAAGATAAGCAATTGCCGGTGTAACCATTCTTCCGAGAGAGGATTAAGCTTAGTAGATCCATGCTGGATTCGTTGGGGTTGCTGATTCAAAGGATATAAGTCTATGACTTGCTTAGCATCCACCTCTCGCGTGGGTGAGATGAGTATTTTTTAACATAATCTGGCGCCTAATCAGACTGTCTGAGGCGCGAGTAGACGAGGTCCTCGAATTGAAGCAGACACTGCACCCAATCGTGAAATCAGATAGCCGCTGGGTACGGCCGGTGCATGGGAAAGGGTAAAAAGATTGAAGTCGGGCCTGGCGAATCCACCTTCCCGAAACATCGATGCATTCTTTGCCGTAATAAATTGGACGCATTGGACTTTATCAAGACGCGCTGAAAATCGAAACTTGGAAGGCTGCCCATGACGAGACAATCCGGACCTCGCGGTCAGCACTGCGTGGAGTGGCTGACTTATGGACTGAGAGCCATGCCCAATAAATCCTTCTTAATGTGCCTTTTACGGCACCTTCACATATGTGAGATCCGGGATCTTGCAAAAATGCGGCGTATTGTGCGGGTAACCAGGTCGTCTCTGACACGCGTAGACAGACATTTAAATTCTGCCAGTTATTTTTTGTCCAGTCTTTGCATTAAATGACTGGCCAGGTCGGACAGAGGACTGGCGCCTGAGGAAGGGAAGATAAGGTGAGAGCGACTCGGAGAAATCACTTCCAAAAATCCTTCCAGCGCATTCTTCGCTATAGTATATTTGATGCGTTAAGAATCGCGGTTTTGAAGGCTGCAAACTGATTGGAAAATTCCGTCCTCTCAGAATGAACAACCAAACTCAAGGACCTATTCCAAACGTCGCACTCATAGCACCACAACTAACGTGGGATCCATAATTCCTGACCCAACCTCATTGCGAAGACAGCAACCACGACAAATATTACTCTCATCACCGAACAAAACTCTCCCGACGGCCCGCCAACCATCACCCTCACCATTAACCCCCATCTCTGGCGATGCAGACTCGGTCCTAACCAATCCCCATTGCGATCAAACATTCACATCACGAATCGGCGTGGCCGGCCACCTGCGAATCCACCGCACTGTGACCTGCATAACAGTGCCAGGAGCCCCAACATACATTCTTCGCATCCGATTTCACCGTCCACATTGTCCACGCAGATTCATATATTGCACAAGCCTATTCGGCCACATGCGAATCCAAAAAGGTGGAATTCACCACAATATCGACACACCTAAAACCCCTGCAAATCCATGACCTTTACGTTTTCAGTTCAATCAACTTCTCATCGATTTGCGTGCCCACCACTGGCGGTATTACAATGATAACCAACTCAACATCCCCCAATCTATCCTGTCCGCATTGTCGCCTTACGCGTCGGCCTGGTTGGTCACTTGCGACTCCATCGCACAGAAACTGGTGAACCACCGCCTGGGACACCGACATGCACCAGACGCCACCGTCTCGGTTGTATGCACTGCCCCCGCATGAACCTATTTGGCTACATGCGCATTCATGAACACACGCGGTTAATCTCTAAGGGCATAACCACATTAACTAGAATTTCCCAATCAACACATCCATCACACATAATCACCTCCAACATCCACATCATCGGCACTTGTGATCTGGGCGTTCTGCCCCCTGTGTGTGAAGTCCAGTTGTTTGAGTACGGAGGCGCGTGCAGACAAGCCGTCCTCAGCCCTGTCGGCCATTTGTCCCAATGACTGTTTCGGACAGCCGACTAATGCACAGGGCAGGGCAGAGTATGTAATGTCGACTCTTAGCGCCTAATCCCTTACTATAAACAATGAGACGCTCTTAAGACTAGCACGGTTCGTCAAAAGCCGTGGCCCGGAAGGTTGCCAACAAACGTTTGCAGTCAG